CTCATAATTATCATGGAATCAAATTAAACCTAAAATAATTTTAAAGCCCTGTCTCTAATTAGTATATCATTGTTATATTGAGAATACAAATTAGTTCGGTCCGTTTCTCTAAAGATGGCTCCAGCTGTTATGAATGGTTCATAGTGACAGCTGATTTTGGCGGTTTCAGAGAGGTTAAACATCTGCTAATAATTCAATTTATATCGCTTTGAGTTTCATACAAAAATCTTGATTTTTACTGTATTTAAAATGTCGAATTTTAACCAAGCAGCATTTGTGGGAGATTTTGATTTTCTGCTTTAATTGGAAGAAAAGTGCGGCTGGAGCCCATCGAATGCTTGTCAAAGTGTTTATGGTGACACTGCTCCAACTGAATAAATCATGTAGGGAATGGTTTCGATGTTTCAAGGATGGAGATTTCAGCATTGAAGACAAGCTTCGCTCTGGACAGCCAAAAAAATTCGAAGACAAAGAATTAGAGGCATTATTGGAAGAAGATCAGAGTCAAACGCAAGAGGAGCTTGCAGAATTATTGGGGGTAACTCAACAAGCCATTTCTGTACGATTGAGAACCATAAGAATGATTCAAAAACAAGGAATTAGGGTGCCTTATGAACTAAAATCTTATGAACTGAAAGAGACGTTGAAAGGCAATTTTCACTTGCGAATAGGTGATTCAAAAATAATAGAGAAAAGGTTTTTTGCATCGGATTGTAACTGGAGATGAGAAGTGGATATTCTACGACAACCCCAAGAAGAAAAAATATTATGCTAAGTTCAGTCAATCGTTGTCATCGACCTCAACATCAACACCATGGCCGAACATTCATGGTTCGAAGATCATGCTCTGTATCTGGTGGGACCAAAAGGGTCTTGTTTACTGAGCTGCTGAAACTTGGCGATGAAACTTTCATTACGGGCGATCGGTATCGGCTACAATTGATTCGTTTGAGCCGTGCATTGCGAGAAAAACGGCCGGAATACGAGCAAAGACATGATAAAGTTATTCTTTTTCATGATAACGTTTGGCTTCATGTCGTTAAAATCGTAAAAAAATAAAATTTGGAAACGCTCAAATGGGATGTTTTATCACACCCGCCGTATTCTTCGGACATTGCTCCTTCTGATTACTGGTTGTTCCAAAAGATGCAACAAGTCACTGGTTCACTTCTTTTGCAGAAATCGAAAATTGGCTCCAAAATTGGATCGCCTCTAAAGACGAGTCATTTTTTCGAGATGGAATTCGAAAATTGCCTGAGAGATGAGAAAAAGTAATAGACAACGATGGACAATACTTTAATTGATCTGTTCATTCATTTTGTTTTTAAATAAATGCATTTTTGAACACAAAAAAACAGACCGAACTAATTTGTACTCCCAATAGTATAATAATGAATCTTTTATATTTTATACAATAATTTCATATTCTTTTTTTTTCAACGATTACATTTTTTTAGTTTTCACCTTTTTTGGAGGGAAGATGAATCGTTGCACTATTTTTTCAGAAAGTGTCATATTTATAGAGTATATTCATAAATTTTTTATAAACAAAAAAAATTAAAAATTGAAAAATTGTGATTTTTAACTAAAAATTCATTTTTCAAACATTTTTTTTCATTATGTTACAATTAAAATCTTTACAAAGCTACTGTACTTTTATTTTTTTCAATTTTTTAAGTATAATGTTCAGTAATTTTCTTTATTCCAAAGAACGAAAATTGCAGAGAATATGACAATTAGTTAAATAATTTTCATACATATAAATGATTATGATTATAATTTTTATTAATTGCACGTTCTCATTTGATCTTTTAATTATTCACTTTAATTATCGGCAGTAATAGATACAAAATATAGCGTAATTATTTTTTTTTTCTTTTTCTTCCTCCAATTAAATAACCGCATCCAGCAAAATGTTTATTTTGCAACTGTTGGACATTTTTTCATATTGGTTGCATTATATTTTTAAATTTAGTGCAATAGTTCTATTCCAGCGAATTAAAGAACTTCCAACAGTTGCAAAATAAACATTCTGCTGAACACGAAAGGTCGTAATACGCTTGAATACGTGATTACAGAAAAATACTAAGAAACAAAACAAAACGTTCGCGGAGAGGCGACTAGAGATAATCAGAGTGAATTTGAAGCAATCTCGTGAGGCAATATGTGCATCCAATGCATTTCGGACCTACGTAATTGGCCGATTTTTAGTTCACTGGAATCGGATTTCAGTTCGCAGATTCATATGGTTTTGGTATACGGTAATTCGCTATTTTCTTTTACCTTTTCGTATTGTTTAAACTTTTTAATTTCCAATCTTAATGATTCACGTCTCCCCTTTTTAAAATAAGGAAGACGTTATTATAGCAGAGTAACAAAACAGTAACGGTAAATTTACGAAGTCAATAAATACAGCCTTGATTGAAAATATTAAGCACTTGTATGTTTTTTATTGTTCTCTCATTGGAAATTTTTTACTTTTAATTATTATTAATTATACAAAATTTAAAGGATTTTTAAAACAAAGAATAATTTACGACAATTGTTATAAATCAATTTTTCAGCTGAAACTTTAAATAATAGTTGAGAGGGTGCGTAATATTTCTGACCAAGAGGCTGTGTTCAGTCGAGACATTTCGATGAAATTTCATCAGAAATTTCGTAAAATTAAAAAGGATAAATTACTCGGATAAAGGCATGAACGCATCCATCCTTGCCATCAAAAATTCACTTATTTTGATACTTTTGGCAATGTTGTTTATCTTATCTTATTTGATAACAGGTGAAATGGGTAGAGAGACCTTGATGGTGATGAGGAATAAAATGGTGTACGCCATGGGTAACAACGTCAATGGTTGTTTGGGAATAGGGAGCACAAACTCCACATTGTGTCCAAGGAAGGTGGAGGCTCTTTGCAAGAAGAATATTAAGACATTTGCTTATGGCAATGGATCTCACGTTCTCGCACTTACAAAAGAAGGAGAAGTATGTTAGAAAGTTGATATTGGAATACAAGTGAAAAAAAATTTGATATTTTGGTAACACCTTACTTCTCTAGAATATACAATAAAAATATTGAACACTTTATTAATTACTATTTAAAGTTTTAGTTCAAGAATTGATTTATGACATTTGCCAATTATTATTGTAAATTATCCTTTGTTTCAAGAATCCTTTAAACTTGTGTATAATGTTAGTAATCAATAGATGACAACATTGGCAATGCCGATAAAAGATTTCCGAATGAAAAAATTATAAGTGTCTAACATTTTTTTTTACCAGTTAAGTTATAGTTAAAGTTATATATAATTCTGATCCTCTCTTTGAAACATATAATTTTAAATACGAATTTGTTAAGCATTAAGTTTTTTTGGACTTTTGTAACTAAGAATAAAATAAATAATTGACATCCTTATATTTTTACGAAAGGACATTGAAATTTTTCTTCATCGATGCTTCTGACGAATTATTAGAAATTTTATCTCGATTTATATTCATTGCCAAATCAATGTATTTTTTGCGACGTTAAAATTATTGATAGTATATTGTCTTCAAAAGGTATATTCATGGGGTTCCAATAGTTATGGCGAACTGGGACATGGAACGTATGATTCAGTTCTCACGCCTACTTTAGTGCCTACTCTGGGAAGTTTTGTGGGTTTTTTGCGCATCGTGGACATTGCGTGTGGGAGTCACCATTCTGTTGCTTTGACTGAGTTTGGCGATGTAAGCAAAAGTTTATATGTGTTGAGTATAATGATAATCGTACGTTATTATGAGCTATATTAGATACCAACTTGGTTTGATTTAGGTATACGTTTGGGGACAAAATAAATTTGGACAAGTAGGTAACTATAATAACATTAATCAAAGCACACCTAGGCTGGTGGATTCTAGTTTGGCTAGGAAGAAGGTTGTCTGCATCTCTTGTGGTAATGCCTTTACTGTGGCAGTCGTCAAAAATGGCGAGGTGTTTGCTTGGGGTAATAATTGCAATGGCCAACTGGGTGTAGGTGATAACGAAGATCGAATGACGCCTTGCCAGCTTGATTTATTGAAAGGCATTGTAATAGGTAATTCTCTTGTAATAGGTAATTCTCTGGATAAAAAAAGAATAAAAGAATGATAAAGAAAAACGGGATTATTGAATAATCGATACTTTTTCAGTCAAAGTGGCTTGTGGATTCGAGCACACGCTGGCGCTTACGGATGAAGGAAATCTCTATTCCTGGGGTGGAAACGATTATGGCCAATTGGGCTTTGATGAGAAAGAGATCTATGAACCAGTCATGGTAAACTCATATTTATTGTCATAAATATTGACATATTTATTGTCATAAATATTGTCATATTTATTGTCATAAAGGACACAGAAAATAAAAAGAAAAAAATGAAAGTTCATGTAATCAATATTTTATACTATACTCAGAAGATCGAGCATAAAATGGGAAAAGTATTCGACATCGCGGCTGTGAATTGTAAAAACATAAGCATCGCCATAGGCGAGGGAGGATGTGTTTACATATGGGGTAACTGCCGCGGTCAGAAAATCACAATTCCAACTGCTACTACGTTTTCGAACATGTATGACGCTCTTGCATGTTATGGATCGCCGAGCGTTATGCATAAACCTCTAATTCTTTACAGCGATGAAGAACCAAGTATATTGGAGTGCTTGGGAAATTCATTCGATGACGAAGTATGTATCTTATTCTTTATCCTGATATAAATTAAGGATAAAATGATCATTCATATAACATGTAATATCACAATAATATCACAGCAATATCATTTTTCCATTGCATTGTTACAATGAAATCTAACAGAAATATCGTTGAAATATTATTAAGATGTCATAATAATATTGCAATGTCTGCGAAAATGAATCATAAAAATATTACTGAGATATATCACAGAAATATTGTAATATTCTGAAATATTTTTGTGACATTTATGTAATGTTTAGATTTATATAACATTTATTGGGAAAAATTAAAACATTTTAAAGAATTTAAAAATAATTTTTTGAAATTATTGATATTTTTAATGTTAATTATTTTAAAAATTATTTCATCTAATATTAATTAGAAAATAATACTGATTGTCAATACAATAACTATTATATAATATTATTATAATTTGAAAAAGTTATAATAAACTGAATATTATTTATAAGATTATGTGTGTGTACGTATAATTTTGTAATACTTTAATAACATCTTAATGATATGATCTTAATGTTATCTCTAATGTTAAACATCATAAAAGCGTTATTAATTATAATAATGTCACTCTACTATTTAAGACATCATATTACCACAATATTACTGTGATATTTCAATATTGATTATCAATGTAATATATCAATAATATTTCTGTAATATTATATTATAATATGTAATATTTCTGAAATATTACAATATTACTGCGATATTACGTGATATGTGGGCACTGTGTTATATTGTGAGTGCTTTCCAGCAAGGATAGTCAGATTCAGTGTAATCGTTTCATCTTTCTTGTTTGCCTATGTTAAACAAAGATTCACTGTTCATTTTAATTAACACTTAAAACTGTGTAATATATTGTTCTCGATTTTAATTCATAAATGCGACAAATATTTTGTATATTTATTATCAGTTAATACTGCACATATTTGTCTGTAACAATTTTTGTTCTGATATAGCATACAAGTGATCTCACAATACAAGTGGAAGATCAAAGTATCTTTGTGCATAAAGCTATTTTGAAGATCCGCTGTTCGTATTTTAGAAACATGTTTCAACATGATTGGGCGGAAAACAATCAAAGGTAATTATTTAACAAAAGATCGTTGTTATTTATATTAAAAATTACCAAATATTGTTCATTTTGACAGTGTTATCAAGCTTGATCAATTTTCCTATGTCGTCTACAAAGCCTTCCTGAAATACTTATACACTGGCATGATCAATTTATCTGTGGAGAAGGCGATAGGTAAGTCGAATACATCATAAACCAGTTATTGGCCTGAGTGTCAGAACAATGTCTTTCATTATAGAACTTTTGAAACTAGCTGATTCTTACTGTGAGAGCAATCTCAAGAAGCACTGCATTCGGATAATAAAGCAAGGAATTAGCGTGTCGAACGTTGCTTACTTGTATAGCGTTGCAGTTCAATACTACGAGGAAGTAATTAAACATTGTCACTATTAATCACTATTAACGCTTAACATTTCGTTAACTGCTGTATCTATACGCGCATGGAATAATTGAATTTGATAATGTTTTAGGAACTGGAAGAATTTTGCGTTAAGTTCGCTATTAATCACATGACGGCTGTGACGCAGATGGAAAGTTTTGCAAATTTGGATGAAAATACACTAAGAACTTTTATAATTAAGACAAGCAAGGCTGGTGTATTTAAAATGTAATAAGTCTATCTCCTTAAAAACAATGCATCTCGATAAGAATTAACGAAAATTGTTGAATATGTTGCTACTCGCAATACATACAGAATCGCGTATTCTGATGGAATATTCCAAACATTTTGTTTCCTTAATAACAGTCGTGTAAATAATAAATGGTCCAAAGTGTCCAGATATATCAATTGTATCGTGCGATCTGATAAATAATTCACGCGAGAGATTCCTTAGTTTATCTTGAAGAGTGTGAGAAAGATCTTGTAATTTTGGAAATGTATCTGAGATTATCTTAGAATTCTCATGAAAAAAAGAAAAAACACCATTCATTGAGAGTCGATCTCATATTTGTGATAATGCCATCAGCGTAACAAATCGATTTATCTTTAAGTAAATGTTTTAAAAATGCTCAAGCTGATAAATCGAGTGCTCAGAATACTTCCAAAAAATTTTATATATTTATAGTTATTATTTTATAATAATTTTTATTACAATTCTTACTAGCACTTATGTTATAGTTTATGCCGGTTATTATCTTTATGAGATGAAGCACTTGGACATTTTTTTTTCTAGAACAAAATTAATATACTTTCTAATAAAGCATTTTTTCATTTTATTTATACTTTCTAATAAAGCATTTTTTCATTTTATTTTTTAGTTTTCATTTTTTATTTATTAAAAATTATATCTCAAATAAAGTGTTGAAATACAATACATTCTGATACTAAATTACTAATCATAAATTATACAAAATTATAAAAATGTATATATGTATATGTGCGTTCGTGTTTGTATTTTGTTAGAAACACTCCATTCAAGTTTGTTCATTGAATTTTCAACATATTTAAGTATTTTAATTTTACATATATAATTGTGATATTTAAATATTTTTATATAATTGGATATTCAATATTTTTTAGTATCAAATTACACAATTTACGAGTAAGTGTATAAATAATATAAAGAAAATGTGTTTTAAAATGTATATTCTAGATAAACGAATAAAATGTGTTAATTTAATATATCAAAAATTTTACTGAAAAATATGCTTCTATAATGTAGTATGCTTATAAATTCTGTTTTTATTACTTGATTGTGTTGACGATTATGGCAATTAAAACATATTTTATCTAAAGATATATATTATTTATGCAATTAAGAAAAACATTTTCCTACTGAAAATGTTACAGTTTATCTTACGTGCATTATAGATTTTCAGTACTGACAGTCAATTTTGGGACAGCCTTCGTATCTTATTGAAAAGCTGCATCTTTTGTTGATAATACAGAATATTGCTTTATTAACAAGTGCCGATGGTAACACAAAATTACTGTCTATTGATATAATACTTGATATAATACTCAGACTGTAATAAAAGCGCTACATATTATAGTTGATATTGTTCAGTCTATCATTGTCCATCCACTAGCGACTGCGGATTGGTGGCGATGTGATGTCAAAGATGTAACTGAAGATTCCCAAATGACATGAAAAATCGTAATTCACTTGATACGAATACTGGCTATAAACGAATACCGAGGAACGAAAGATTTACAAAGAAGTGATTTGATTCCGTGACAACATGTGCACTTCGGACCTACGTAGCTGGCCGATTTTCAGTTTATTGGAGTCAGAGTTCGTTTCGCAGATTCATATGGTTGTGGTATACGGTAATTCATCCTCTTCTGTTAGCGTACTTGTTTTGACAGTGTGTTGTTTAGCCTTATATTTCAAAACAGGTAACTTGGGTAATGAAGCCTTAATCATGACGAAAGACAAGATGATGTACGCCCTAGGTAACAACATCGCTGGTTGTTTGGGAATCGGGGACACACACGGTACTCTATATCCTAAGAAAGTGGAAGCCTTATGCGAAAGAGACATAAGAACATTCGCATATGGCAGCGGACCTCATGTTTTAGCACTTACAAAAGAAGGAGAAGTACGCTAAGATTTTTTTTATATCTTGGAATACAATCAATTGTTGTCTGTAGCTAGTATTCATAGTCAGTTTTATATTTCAGACTTTCTTAAGTACAATCCTAAAACATCATAAATCCATCTTGAAGCTAGTTGTATTAGCATGTTAAAATATTTCTTAAGAAAATCACACAAATTGAGAATTGACTGCGAATACCAGCCTGTGTAATATCTCATCTCTTTGAAATACAACTATGGTTAAAAATAAATCTTCTAAAAATAAATTTTTAGACTGGTATTCTTAGTCGATTTTTATTTTAAGATTGTCTTAAATATGTCTCAAGTTAATGCTGTGATTTGATTTATGATATCTTAAGATTATATTTAAGACAGTCTTAAATATAAGAACTAACTGTACTGATTAATAAAGCAAGTTTGGAAGATGCTTGCCCTCTGCAAGAATCATGTGTGTATATATATATATATATATATA